AGACTTGTCTAGAAAATAGAGCACATGGAATATCATCCCAGGAGCATTTCCATCCCTCTGCAGTGAACTCAGGGCTGTCAGAATCCCTTACTGAGAACCTGAGTTACCAGGTAATCATCAACCAGTATGTAAGACTATTTTATTAGCCCTAAAACAAGAAAAAAAAAGTCACTCAGTCGTGTCTGACTCTTTGCAACCCCATGGACTAGTCCATGGAATTCTTCAGGCCAGGGTACTGAAGTGGGTAGCCTTTCCCTTCCCCAGGGGATCTTCCCAACCCAGGGACTGAACCCACGTCTCCCACATTGCAGGCAGATTCTTTACCAGCTGAGCCACATGGGAAGCCCAAAACAAGAAAAAAGGATTTCCTCATAGGCAGAGCCAGGAATGATCTCTCACAAGTCCTTGTCAAAGCCCACATCTACAGACAACTGCCCCTTGCCCATCTTTACAATCTTGGGTCTCCATCTCTAGGCTGTGAGGTGGGGCAACCCCCCCCCCAGGCCTCCCTCTGGATATTGGAGGGCTCCTGTCCAAACAGACACCCCGTGACTCATTTATTGTTACGTTCCCTGCTCCCCAGTACGTCATCTGAAAGGAATCACTCATCGAAATGACCACCATGTGACTGGTTGTTCCCCAGGGATGTGCTCTACATTAACAAACTGGCCAGGGCATCGCTGGGACCCCCAGATCCAGGAGATAAGCCTCCCTGTCCAGTCACATTTATCATCTTATTTCCCAGGGAGATCCCATCAAGAGTACTCAAATAGCCTTCCCAGAGCACTGGGCTATTTCTTGCCCATGTTCTATTTCTCATTTTTTAAATAACGAGTAAAGCAGAAATCAGTGGAATGACTGCCCTGGGTAATTGAGATTGTAAATGGTTGTAGCTGAGGACAACTGATCTGCCACTGTTGATCTGAGGTTGGGACAGCAGGGTGAAGGGACCCAGCTACCTTTCCCCACCGCCTAAACACAGTCAAACAGTAGAAGCCAAAACTATGGATCAGGGGTTCTTAACCTGGCATTTATGGATGGAATTCTTTGTGGCTCTAAACTTGGTGGGAAAACCTATTTTCACTAACCTCCTACTGAAATCGAGCATTTCCTTTAAGCATGAGCACAGGTGACAATCCATGTTAGCGCTGACAGTACCTATGACTTTGTCAACAAGTCAGATGCGTTCTTTGCACATTTCAGTTGCCACAGATCTTCTATTTATGCTCATTATGCTTCAAAATGACAATATGTGACCCACAACTAGATCCAGCTTTGTAACACGTCATTAAAGCAGAAATATGAAATCAGACATCTTTGAAAAACATTGTAACCTATTTCCCTGTAATCATATCTCCTTGATGTATTAGAAAACTTGTTTCTGAGGAGGGGTTCACATGTTCACCATGCTGCCTAAGGAATCCACGGTACTGGGAAGGTTAAGGACCCCTAATGTGAGCCTTGCAACAGCAAATTCAGAACACTGGAACCTAAATTCAGATTGTTACTGGACACGAGACCCCTAGGCATATTTCAAATTTTGACTGCTGGCCTACTCAGTGATATTCACAATTCACAAAGCTCACAAAGCTATTTTTAAGACTGAGCAAGAGAATGTAAAGGCAAGTTGTGTACTGACCCAAAGCACAGCACCGTAAAAGATGGTGCGGTAGAAGACATTCAGCAATGGGGCGATGTAGGAGGTGAAGTGAAAACAAAAAAAAAGAGGTGAAGTGTTATCTCAAAGCCACGCAGCAGCTTGAATCCAATAATGCTGCGCACCTGGCCTCAAGAACAGCGCTACTCACAGTGCTATTCCAAGACTGGGGAAGGACCGGGCCTGCCGTGGGGACCAACATGCTGCTTCCTTCACTGAGGTGGTCTTGCTGGGAATGAAAAAACTTAAAGCTGAAGCAAATGAAGCAATGTGCATAGAACATGATGGCCTGCTGTAGGACCACACCAATTAATACTGCTCTAGAGTCTTGGTCATAGAGCAATGATACATCACTCACACTCACACTCACACACACACACCCTTACGCTACACACACACCCCCTTACCCTACACACACACACACCCCCTTACCCTACACACACACACACACCCCCTTACCCTACACACACACACACACACCCTTACCCTACACACACACACCCCCTTACCCTACACACACACACACACCCCCTTACCCTACACACACACACACCCCCTTACCCTACACACAAACACACACCCTTACCCTACACACACACACACACCCCCTTACCCTACACACACACACACACACCCTTACCCTACACACACACATACACCCTTACCCTACACACACACACCCTTACCCTACACACACACACACACACCCTTACCCTACACACACACACACACACACCCTTACCCTACACACACACACACACCCTTACCCTACACACACACACACACCCTTACCCTACACACACACCCCCTTACCCTACACACACACCCCCTTACCCTACACACACACACACCCCCTTACCCTACACACACACACACCCCCCCTTACCCTACACACACACACACCCCCTTACCCTACACACACACACACCCCCTTACCCTACACACACACACACACCCCCTTACCCTACACACACACACACACCCTTACCCTACACACACACACACACACCCTTACCCTACACACACACACACACACCCTTACCCTACACACACACACACACACCCTTACCCTACACACACACCCCCTTACCCTACACACACACCCCCTTACCCTACACACACACCCACACACCCTTACCCTACACACACACACACACCCCCTTACCCTATCCCAGGAGTCATGAGAACAATGAAATTGATCAACTTATTGAGACAAATGCAAACTCTTCTGGCAGCAATAGTTAAGCAAGAAGGCATCTATTCGACTGCAGAGGAAGAGCAGCACACTTTTCTTCTGCGCAGTAGGAACAGTGTCAACCCAACCTCCCTCTAGCCCAGTAGGATCACCATTAATCAGGTCTTTAAAACAGCCAATCACACTGTCAGAAGGCAGCATTTCTTCTTTTAATAAGCAAATTCTTGGTAACTGCTAATGTGCTGAATAGAATTTAAACTACAGCCACACTTGTCTTTAATTAAAAAGCAGCTATATATTACAGTATATTCTATTTTAGATGATAAAGGAGACTACAACAGTAAGCAACACTACAGCCATTAGAGTAATGCAGCAATGCTTAGATTTTACATTTCCTTAAAATGCAGCAGAACTGAAGGTTGTTGATAGTTATCAAGAGTTCAGTTTGCATAGTTTAGCAGTTACAAAGATGTTCAAAAAACACTAGACATCCTTTCCCTACTAGAAAGAAATGATTGTGCTCAGAATTCATGATTATCATCTGAAACAAAAATTTTCTTTCCGTTTCTTTCTTCCTCCCATACCATACCCCTTAGTCTCTCCTCAACACATCTTCCATGGTCTGTCCCAACCCGATGCATCTCATTCCTAACTCTCAGCTCTTGGCAGGACCTGCTACATCAGCAGATTTAGCTTCAGCCTCAAGCTAGACTTCAAGTATAAAGTTATATCACATATTATAACACCATATCAAGACAGCAGATACACTTGCTTTCATTTTTCAAATGGAGAAAATAAAAACACCCCAAAACCTCCACTTCTGTTTACCCACTCTGTGTTCTAACAGTACCATATTTTTTAATCTTACACAGTATACAGAGACTTTGAAAGACTGAGGAAGTTGGTGGTGGGGAGGCAAGGCAAAGAGTAAGTGGACATATATTCATTCTGAAAGATTATATGTTTCATACCATGAACCTATCTCAGAAGAGTATTATGGGCTGACACGAATTTTATCTTAGAACAGACAGTGGGTATTATTAATGGTTTTCTTCCTACAAATTCATCGTAAATGAACTCATTTCATCGATAAAGCATAAACCTTTTTAAAAACAACAAGATAACCCAGTGATGTCTAACAGTCTGAGTCAATATAAACTTACCTTTGATGTGAATTGTGACCCACACATACACTACCCAGCCGTTACATGCACTTCCTTACGTGAGTGGAAGTTGCTCCTGTGGCTGTGGGCCTCTGCATAAACTATCCTCTATCTGTGCATCTAAAAAACTCAGACAAGTTCACAGCAGCAATCCACAGTGATCTTTATTTTCACATCTAATATACCGTTAAAGAGTTGGAAGAGAAACTCTTATTAAGAGAAATAAGCTTTTGACTTTCAACTTTACAGTAAGGCCAAATCTTTTCCCATCCTCCAGGTCAATTTTATCATGAAGAAGTGGTGAGTGTAATAGGCTGTGTATCATTTACCACGGTGGTAAATGAAGTCATTACTACTGTTCAACAAAGGCCCTAAGGCCATCCTATTATAAAGAGATAAATGGCAGGGACTGATAGGATGGAACCAAAAAAAGACCAAGGAGACACCTTTGTTCTGTGAGATCAGAAGTGAGCAAGAGAGGACCTAGCTGAAATAAAACAACAGACACGTGAAATTTCTCATTTGTAATTTTAATTGAAGCGTTGCTATTCATTTTTAAAGTCTGTCCTCATAAGCACCAAATTTTAATATCTATATCAATTTGGGGGGGAAAGAAACTCCATGAAGAACTCCCCTCCAGAAGAAAACAATGATATGCACTCCTCCAAATGACCAAATTCAAAGTCTACCAAAATGAAAACAAAACAAAACAAAACAAAAAAAGCCCACACAGAAAAACAGAAACAAAAACAAAAATCACATTCTAGGGGTTCAGTGCATTTAGCAGCCTTCACTGTGCTGTCTAATCATCCTAGCTCATCAAAATATACATTTTTTCCATTTGATTTTTAAATTAAAAAAATAATTAAAAAGAGGAAACGTGAAGGAATTCATAATCAATTGCCTGACTTGTTTCGATTTCACGCACAGCATAGAAAGGTCAGGAAGGCTATTTGCAGCACACGTGACTCGGGGACACTGATTTTCAAGGTTTAGCTTTCTTCCAAACAGTGTAAAATACCCACCTGGAGAAGGAGTCAAGGAATAAGAGTAGATAATTGAAGGCATCACTTAAAATTTGTTTACTGGCCTACAGATTGGAAGATGGATGCGCACTTCACAGCTTACAGCACTGTGGTAATGAGAGTGAAGGCCTCTGAGACAAGGTCACTTCACAGCCTGGATGCCCACCATCTGTGACATTAGGGCGAGGCTGGGGGGGAGCTTAGCAGAGAAAAGGTTAAAGGGACACAAATATTCTCTCAGGGAACACTTGTGCTTCCAAAGACTCTAAAATGTTTTAGGGAATGAATATGAGAAGGAAGCGTGGGAAGGAGAGAGAAAGATCAGAGGGAGTTGGTGGGGGAGGGGGTGGCGGAGGTGGGAGGAGAGGGACCGAGGAAGAGAAGGAAAAAATGGTGAAGGATGAGGGACCAGAGAGGAGCCAGAGGGTGGAAACCTTTTCTCCAGATGTCATCAACTGCTTTCAGAAGTCTTTGAAAAAGTCTTTGAGCATGTAGACAAAGATCTGACTGTCATGGAATGCTCTGGAGAGCAACCCTGATGAAGGGGCCGGGCAGGGAGAGGAAGCTTTGGTCTGCAGAACACTGTCTGGTTTTTAGGAGGAAGAAATGCACTATGAAAGTCCAATGACAATGCTCTCCTTTGCCTTTCCTCTGGGTTCTTCTCTTATTTCTCTGGACCAACTTTACTAAGTGGAACTAAATGGAGAACACCAACATTGACTTTGTGATGCCTGGCATTATTTTTAGCTCTATCTCTACTGCAAAGCGGCATCAAGCCAAGTGTAGAAGTTAATATTAAAGTAGAATAATATAAGTGTAAAAGGACAATGAGCTTCTTCAGCCAGCCTGCTCCAGCTCGGGTGGCTTTCTGAAGCTCTCAAGTGCACACCAATCCCCTGGTGGGCTGGTTGAGACAAGTCACGAGGCCCCAGCCTCGTGTTTCTGATTGGACAGCAGGCTGTGGTGGTGCTTAAGAATGAGCCTGTTTAACTAGCTCCCAGGTGATGTCACAGGTCTGGTGGTCCTGTGAGAATAGTGGTGCCACATCATCCAAACCACCTGGGAGGCTGTCAGGCCACACCCCAGCACCTGAGGCTGGGACCCAGGAATCTGTATTGTTTTCAAGCTCCCAGGGGATTACAACGTATAGCCAAGTTTGAAAACCAGGGCCTTCTGTATACTACAGAACTAATTCTGTTTCTTGAAACTGGTAAATGGGCATGGTATTTACATGGGGGTTCTGACTGGGCAACACAATGATGTAATCAAAGGATATAATTCCAAGTACGAAGGGACACAGACGATCTCCTTCGAGAATTCCACAGGACAATACAGGCGCCCCAGCTGTTCTTCATAGAGTGACAGGGCTTCTGTCAAATTGACACAGTTCCCCTAAATCAAAGAGAGAAAAGCAAACAACAGGAATCTTAAGTCCTAGGAGGGTCCCACTCATTGGAAGGTCTCTAATAAATGAGAACAATTCTAGCTTTAGATAAAAGTTCATCTCTGAAAATGAGATAAGGTTTCTGTACTTTCACAAATTGCATTGCATTCTATTTATAGATCCATTAGCTCATTATCCTTCTACTTCATTTACCAAGCCATTTCAAATTATTCGAGGATGAAGCAACAGAAAGCAGTGAGACCAATTTCTCATTAGTGACACAGTCATTGTATCAACACCATGCAATTACCAAAGATTCATACACATAACCCATTCAAAATTAGTTTTCCCTAAAGTCACTACAGTATTGAGGATGAAGTATCAGAAACATAATGCTCTTGATTTCCAGAATGGCTTAAACTACAACCCTCTTAAGAGTCTAAGATGTTGACACAGAACTATTTCACACCCTTGTGCTTTCTCCAACAAAAGTCAATTCCATATATATACACTAAAGGTATTCCCTAGTTTACTCTTTATCAAACATTTTGTCTTGACTTCATTGTTCTAATTTTTCTCTGTTTCTTGCCATTTCTTTTTTGTCTCCCCAGCTGGTAGGAGTGGCCAATGAAATATAGTATAAATCTGCTGGAAAAGATTTTTTTTGCAATGTGTTCTTTTTCTTAATTATTGAAGTATAGTTGGTTTACAACATGGTGTTAGTTTCAGCCGTACACCAAAGTGATTCAGCTACATAGATATACACCTACATATACACATCTTTTCAGATTATTTTCCATTGTAGGTTATTAAAAGATATTGAATATAGTTCCTTTTGCTATATAGTAGGTCCTTATTGTTTATCTATTTTATGTACAGTAGTTTGTATCTATTAATCCCAACCTTCTCATTTATCCCTCTGGTCCCCTTTCACCTTTGGTAACTATACGTTTGTTTTCTATGTCTATGAGTCTGTTTCTTACAGATTCATTTGTACTATTTTTTAGATTCCACATATAAGTGATATTTGACTGTAGACAAATCAAGGACAAACACAGTGACCTTGCTCCTTCAACTTTCTTCCAGCCTGCAACTTAGATGTGATATGTGGAGCTGCAGCAGCCACTCTATGACTATTAAAAAAAATGGTGAAGAGAATCAGAAGTGCTGGTGGCCAAGACCCAGGAGAGCTGGTGAATGGATACAGAATCTGCCTAATTCTAGAGCTGCAATTCTCAATTTTTAATGTGTATATGAATCATATGAGGCCTTGTTAAATTATAGATTTCCATTAAGTAGGTCTGGGGTAGGGTTTATCATTTGAGCACAATTTTCCCCCAATTTTCTCATAATGGATTTAGAAAACAAGATGAGCATTTAATATCAACTATTTCCTTTTAATCTCTGAAGTTCTAAACATTTGGAACGACTAGAATATACGTGCTGATAACATTTCTTCCTAAGAACTTCTTTATCAATTTGCCTCAAAACAGCCAAGATGAAAAATATTCACAAATAAAGCATCCTGTGATACAAGCATTCCTAAGGATGGCATTTCAAAATCAAAAAACCAGCCAGCTACGGGGAAGTGGGTAGACAGGACTATTCTGAGAGCTGGGCAGTTTTAACTGAGCACATTCGATCAGCATGTCGTCATACTTCAGTGCCAACCTGTTTAGTAACCCATCATCTAGGGTCCTGCAGTGGGAATTGGCCCAAGTGCCTTTGACCAGCATATAATTTGGTTTCAACATTAAGTTCACCATGAGAGTATATAAACACCACATGTGTAATTTAAGATTCACAAATAGAAAACACTCCCAGTTGTTTTTAGAACACCTCACTACTACGGAAGCTATAGAATGGAAATGCCACCAAGGTTCACAGTTCAAGCTTTTCCTTGCCATCTTAAAAATGACACCATACTCTCTCTTTATAGATGGAATACAGGAAGACCTCCTTACAAAGAATGTAGTACGTAAACAGAACAGTTTCAATTTATTCTTCCCCCAAATTGTCAAAAAGCAGTTTAAAAAAGAAAAATCCCCACAAATAGATGCCTACCCAAAAAAAGTACCATGATACATTTCACCTTTCTGTGTATTTAAACGCAACTACACTGTTCTTAAGACATATAGGAGATACATAACAACAATCCAATAGCAAAAGAATTCAGCACCTATTAAGGAGGAGAGGAAGAGAATAATGTGGCAAGGCAGGGGCACACCTGGGAGGTAAACCACAATATAGCATCTTCCATTCTACAAGGTTCTTGTTGCCCCATGTTAGCTCTGGGTGACACCTGCTTTTTTACCTTATAGATTTTAATATTGTATCTTTTTTTTTCCAGAAAAGTCCTTTATTCCTACTAGAAATACTTTGGGATACAGAAATACTTGGGGATATGTGGAAGTATAGAACATAAAAGGGAACAAAACCAGTAACACTGAAACAATGCCTTCCCACTCTCCTACTTCCCAACACACTGTAAGCTAGAGTGATCAGAACACGGCTGGGGGTGGGGTGAGGCGTCTACACTGAAGGCGAGTTGTTTTCACAGCTCTGCAGCCTCTGCGTGCCGTGCAAGCACTTGCAGGGCAGAATCCGGACAACATCATTCTGTTTATAGCTTTCTATGCAGACTGCACAGTGATCGAAGTGTGGGTCTGTTTCCTTATCACCTCTTTTCACTGTTCTGATTGTCAATTTGCTGATGGCTTTCTTGGCTGCATCTCCAAGAGAATGTTTCTGCTGCTGCTAAGTCGCTTCAGTCATGTCCGACTCTGTGCAACCCCATAGACGGCAGCCCACCAGGCTCCCCCGTCCCTGGGATTCTCCAGGCAAGAACACTGGAGTGGGTTGCCATTTCCTTCTCCATGTTTGTATCTTTCAAAGAGTTTATGGCATATCTGTAATATAAAAAAGTCTGGAAGACTATCTACTTAATGACACCATTTTTCTCTCTTCTAAAACAAGCAAAAATAACGTGATGATTTAGGAAATCACACATATGTGAAATACCTCAAAAACAGAGGGGAAAAAAGTCTGAGTTGCTTCCAGAAGGTGGGAGGGGTTGATGGAGAGATGTAGATGTGTCAAGTGTACTGGTAACATCCAGGTCTGTGGGAGATGGGTGGAGGGGGGTTCATATCTTTGTATCGTAACTAACATGAATGTCACACACACATTTGTACTTCCAAATAACTAAAGCTTTTTTAATGGGGAGTGGAGGGGCGAAGTCCCAGGATCTGCCTCTTAGTTCCACAAAAGCAAGTCTCTGCCCGCTGGCCCACCAGACGTGGCTCCATGGATCAGCACATTCCAGGAGGACTTCCCCAGCTTTGTGGCCCACAGACAAGGCTGTCTTCAAGAAGCCACAGTGAAATCAGTGACATCATAAAATCTCCATGGTGATGCAAGCAATTTTAGGCAGGGACGTTTAGTTTTTGTCAGTTACCAAGTTAACAAGCCAAACACCATTTTTGTCCCATCTTTAACCCTTCCTCTGTTTCTAAGCTACAGGCTAAGGGAAGGGAGATGTGAGTGTATTAAGGGCATTTCCTGAGCATACCACGTGCTACATGAGGAAGTGTTCCACCGTGGCAATACCATCGGTGTGTCCTTAGTCAGAGCATGCTGTGGCTCTTGACCCGACTACTGCTTCTTCACAGGCCTATGCCCCTGTGGTCCATATGACATGTTGAACCACCCAACATACTATGGGATTCCCAGGTATCATAAAATGAGGTCGCCTTGAGTTTCCAACTACACTGAATGCAGGGGTGGGAAGCACGTCCTAACACATCCTTTGGATAACTCTTAGAAACCAGCACAGCCTTGAGTATTTAAGGTGGTTTTTAGTAGAAGTTGGTTGGCAAAGACCAGGTGATCAAAGCCTGGGTCTTTAGTGTTAACAAATGTGTGGTGACAATTTGTCAACCAAGTGCTTCTATTAGTTGTCCACACTGAGAAAGCAGTCTACCAGGCAAATATTTGCAACAGAAGACACCAGTCACACTTTCTTCCTAAGAGCACCTGTTGTCTACTGCAAACTGACTGGTTTGCATTAGATCCAAATTGTTCTCAGTCTCTTTTGATTAAAGATGCCAGAGCCTCACTTTCTTTCCCAACTTAAGCCCCACGGGATTTCTATTTGCAGAAACATAAAAAGAATCCAGTTCGATCAATATATGCTCTGCTTGAGAAATAGTCACTTATGAAAACCCAACTCATTGAATTTGGGTTGCTTTTACAGGAATTAGGCCACTTGGTTTGAGCAGGTTTCATTGTAGAGTTCAGAGAGAAAATATTTTAGGCTTTGCAGATCATATAGTCTTCACCACAACTGCTCCAAGCTGTTGCTGTAGTGCAAAAGCAGCCGCAGACACTGTGTAATGAATGGGCGTGGCTGTGTGTCAAGAAAACTGCAAAAAACAAGGGGTGAGAAACGGCCCGTGGCTTATGGACCCCTGGCTTTTAAAAAGTCAATATCAGAATGTGTTTTTAAAAATCATTCCTAAGCATCAGGGGTTAAAAAAAATTAAAAGTCCACTTGTAGACAGTTGTCTGTTCCCCTTGAAGCTTGCCAACACTTTCAGCAAGTATGAGATGATCAAGGATTAATTGCCACCTGTACGGGTGTTCTGTGCAGGGGGAAGAGGAAGAAAACAGGATCAGCTGGAAACAAATTCAAGGAGTTGTCGATTTGTTTTCAGCATTATGAATCTCAGACCTCATAAACTCCCCAGGGCTTACTTTAAAAAAGCCTCCTCAGAAGAATAAAATCAGGAATTTTCCCACAGTTCTTTGATATTTTTTTAAATATACTTGGGCTTCCCTGGTGGCTCAGATGGTAAAGAAACTGCCTGCAATGCAGGAGACCCAGGTTCAATCCCTGGGTGGGGAAGATAAAAAATAAAAGTCCATTAAATATACTAGTGCTTAAAAAAAAAAAAAGTTGGGGGGGGGGAGGTAGAGTTCTCCTGAAAATGCTTAAGAACTAATTACAGGGACCAGAGTACAATACTGTTTATCTTCTGCTTATGAATCAAGGGCTTTTTCAACCAAGTAAAAAGACTGATCATCAACTAGCTGCTTTTGCTGTCATTTCCAAAATGTCAAGGACTTTAGTAGGATATATACATGTATTTTTATGTATCAGGAAATACTGACTTCAAACCTTCTTTTAAAATTAAGAAGCCCCTAAAAAATGAGGAAAATACAATTTGCTTCCATCTGGTGGCAGCAGTTCATACTGCAGCCAGAGCAGTTTATGAAATTATATTGATGACTTTTCCTAGAGGATGAGGCGCGAAGGCAAAACAAAACAAGAAAAGAAAATCACGGTCTGTGTCTCCCTCTGGTGGCAGCAGCTGATACTGCAGCTAGTGCAGTTTATGATGGTTTTTTCCCACTAAAAGACGCTCCAGAAAATGGGGGCGGGGGAGGGGAGATATATATATATATCACGGTCTGTGTCTCTCTCTAGTGGCAAAAGCTCATACTGCAGCCAATGCAGTTTATGATGGTTTTTCTACTAAACACTCAGGAGGGTGAAGAGGGGGAAGGGGGTGGAAATCACGGTCTGTGTCTTCATCTAGTGGCAGAAGCTCATTCTACAGCCAAAGCCCAAATTCAATAAATTGGAAGGTTATGGTAACATGACAGAACAGAACAAGGCGCATGCCTGCTTAGTTGCTCAGCCATGTCTGACTCTCTGCGACCCAATGAACTGTCGCCCACCAGACTCCTCTGTCCATGGGATTTCCCAGGCAAGAATACTGGAGTGGGTTGCCATTTCCTCCTCCAGAGGATATTCCCGACCCAGGGATGGAACCCATGTCTCCTGCATTGCAGGTGGATTCTTTACCACTGAGCCATGAGGGAAACTCGCAACAGGACAGGACAGAACTGATTAATTCCCTAAAAGGGACAGGTCAGCTATTTACAAACTTACTGCTTGAGAACACAGACAGACATAAATATAAAAAATTTTTTCAGTACAACAGTTTCATTTATCCACTTCTATATTACATCTTCAACTACCTACTTCCACATTGAGAATGCTGAGGATAAAATTAAAATATTGCATGAATGCTCAACGGCTTTACGCCACATTGCAAATACAACTAAGAAAAGCAATACTAATGCCATCACCACCCATATGATTACTGAAAATATGTAAGATTTTTGCACATACTTGTCCCAGTCTCTCCCACTCACTGTTGTTTCCAGCAGTTGTACTGTCCCAGCATTGGAAGAACATATTGTCGTACTATACCCAGTCCCTTTAAACCTTTATTTACTCTTCATTTTACAAGTAACTAAATAGTTAGTGCTATCATTAGTCTTTATGTCAATGTCTAAGTATTTTGGTGTGTGAAGCACAAAATGTAAAATTTTTATTGAGAATTTTTTTGGGAAAAAAAAAGAGTTTAAAGTCTATACCTGTGTAAAATATTTCCCATCCTGTTTCAGTACTTTCATTGAGAGGTCAAGAATCAGTCTGAGAAACTCCCAAGTGGAATCTGGATGTTAAAAAAAATTAAGTTTTATAAATACCGGTTTGCATGCATGAGAAACAACATCTAAAGTCAAACATTCACATTAATAATCAATAATTCAAAAAAAAACAAAAAGAAAAAAAAGGGAAATGGCCATGAGACCCAATATTCAAGGGCCTGTGAACAAGAACACAGTGTCATATATTTTGTGTCTTGGACACATGTGCACATACACCTATATACAAACAAAATCAAAAGCAAATGCAGATGTACATAACATTGCTCTCACCATACCCATAAAGATTTGACAAAAAAGCAGTGGCTGAAATCTGAAAGAGAACACCTTTAAGCAAGGGGAAAAGCAGGAGAGAAACTGCAAGAGTGAGGGTGGGAACCTGAGTCTGGAAATTCAGCAGGAAGATAAGGTAACGGAAAAAACATGAACACTGAAATCCTAAGCGAGCAGTGATTTTGACTGCATGGCATGAAAGGGGGCCTTGTCTCTGGTATTGCTCAGAAAGGTCACCAAATTGTCCCAGTACAGGTTAAAAAAATCCCAGTATGTAAATTATAAACAAGCTGATATCTCAATGGTATGATTATGAGTCATTTTATTTCTATACTTGTTTCAAACAACTGTGTTAATTTTGCTCATTTAGTGGTAAAACAGGATCTGACCAAAGCCAAATCTAGCCATCTTCCCACCACTGGCCTCAGTTTACTACCTTTAATAAATGAAGGAACTTCACTAGGCAATATCTTAAGATCTTTTCATTCTCACATGGTGTTAAGAAAAACATTTCCATATTTCTGTGAACATTATCTTGGTTGGAGCAGTCTGGCTGGGAGACGGGTTTGGGGAATAATGGATATGTGTATATATCTGCCTGGGTCCCTTCACTGTTGACCTGAAACTGTCACAATATTGTTAATTGGCTATATTCCAATACAAAATAAAAAGTTTAAAACAGAAGCTACCTTCTTCTGGAGATGTGGAGATTGGAACAGCTGTCAAATCATTAATCACATAATCAAACTCTCTCCCTTCTTTGGCGTACCTCTTCAGTACTGGAATACAGTCTTCTATTAGAACCTTCCAGAGAGAACAAGCATAGATGCAGGTGAGCCAACATAACGTGAAAGTGGTTAAACACTTGTAAAAGGAAGGGGGAAATGCACACAGGGGCCGCAGCACCTGCCAGAGGAACAAAAGCCACTTCCACCCATACCTGCCAGGAGCTAAAAGTCCAGGGCTTACCAGATGCTTTACATGCCTTTCAATTAAGTGGAACAACTCCTCCTAGGAATTACTATCATCGCCATTTTACAAACAGAGAAAACAAACGAGAGAGGTCACTAAGTCTGCTCTTGCATGCGTGCTGTTGTGTCTGCCTCTTTGCGACCCCGTGGACTGCAGCCTGCCAGGCTCCACCGTCATGGGGATTCTCCAGCAAGAAGACTGGGGCAGGTTGCCATGCCCTCCTCCAGGGGATCTTCCTGACCCAGGGAATGAACTCACATCTCCTGCGTCTCCTGCATCACAGGCAGATTCTTTACCACTGATCCACCAGGAATGTCCTCTCCTTGGTTGGCCCTTGCAAGAAACCTTGCTTTGCTCCAAACTCTGAGTTTGTTTGGCCTCACTGTGCACCAGGCACACGGACTGGGTTTCACATCTGCTGAGCCACCCAAGGGCTGGTGCCCGTGGCAGGTCGGCCCTGGCCAAGAGCAGCCCTTTTCCTTGAGTCTCCAACCGTCCCCAGAGTTCATTCCACTCAAGAGAACTAGGAGGGACAGGTGATACCCGCCCTTTTGGAACGAGGTTTTTTGGAAACAAATGTGACCTACAGCCCACCCACCTTAGGTATGGGTTTGGGGTCTCTCCCCCACATACATAAGCTAGGAATTCTACCTGCCCCTTCTGAGTTCACCTCCTTTCGGAAAGCGAGCCACTCTGGGCACATTGTGAGTCACCCTAATTCTCTCTTGAGACCCAGACCGATCTGTTTGGGGGCCTCCATGTGGGAATAGGAGTGCAATTTTGAACTATACTTCACCTGATCTCATCTCTGCGACCATATTTGTATTTTTATGTCTTTGTGTATTAGTACTTGCATTGGCCTGTTGAGATATCGCTGGTAATGGAGCTCATGCTGACTGACACCAGGGTATTCTTCCCAACTTCACTGGCTTCACTTACAGCAAGGGGTTTTCCCTTTAAGAGTACAGCGTGGTCACTTGCCTTCATCTCTAATGGGGAACTGACTGGGTATCTCCTCTCTAGGGCAAGGGAGCTGTGACCTTGAGAGACCATTCTGCATTGCACTGGTGTGCCCTTTGCTTGGTATTTGACAGCAGCAGCCGTGAAAAGGTACGGGTGATGACAATTCTGTTCCATCTTGTAGTCCACTAGGGCACATTTTACAAAGCAGGGAGATCAGCTTTGCTCCCATGAATGAAAGAAAAAATTTCACTGTACTGCTTGGCCTCAGTAGCCCCCTGGACACCCTCCAAATTAGAACATCCTTCGACTAGAACTGTTTTGTAAAAGGGAAGGGAAATGGGATAGAGTTCCTTATGCATAAGCTTTTATACTATGGTATCTAAGGGAGCCTTTTGGAATTGGTTTGGCTTTTATTTGGTGTGTGTGCCCAAGTGTCTGGGTACATGAGTCCTAATACTGTTCTCTCTTCCGGTTTTGACCCTCATTAAGGGGGTCTTGGGAACTTGAATGCTGATTCAAGTTCTCTTGTAAGAGAAGCAAGTGAATATGAGTGAGGGACAGGTATGTAGAAACTGAAGGAAATCTCACCCTGTAAACAGCCGAGATGGGGCTCTTTTGACATTCTGAAACTGGTTTTTGTGTGTGCAATCAGTATTAAGCTAGCTTTCTAGGAGAAACATGCAGATCTTTGTGCCTTCAAGATGAAAATGATCTACCTGGACTCGCAGAAACTTTAATCATCTGTGATCCTGGGGTGGGGTGGGGGGGTGCTTTTTAAACTCAAACAGGTAAAGTTTTAGATCTGTGTCTATACAGACATCTGCATGTTTATGCATACATTATAAATACGATGTGCCTCCATCTCCAAATTGCATTGCTAAGCTTGGTTTGTGGATGAGCTCTGTTTAACTTAAAAGAACTTAAGTACTTATGTAAATTCTCAGAAATGTAAAAAACTAGTCAATGAATTTCAGGTTCATATGATCTAGGAAATATTCACTATTAAACTGATATTTGGTATTAAATCTAGCTTTTAAGTGTGCTGGTTTAATACAGACATGTTTCTAGAGTCATCAGTATTAACTATATTACTTTTATTGCATCTAAGAAAGTCAATAAAGCTCATATTGTTATAAAATTTGTCAACAAGAAAAACTATGATGAAACATTTGAGTAAATTAAATGTAAGAGCTCCCCTGGTGGCTCGGATGGTGAAGAATCCACCTGCAATGCAGGAGACCCAGGTTCAATCGCTGGGTCAGGAAGACTCCCTGGAGGAGGGCTTGGCAACCCACTTCAGTATTCCTGCCTGGAGAATTCCATGGCCAGAGGAGCCTGGTGGGCTACAGGGGGTCACAAAGAGTCAGACACGACTAAGCAACTAACACTTTCACTTTTAAGAGGATTTCTAGGTAAAACATTTTTTCAAATGTTTTTTAAAAAAAGGGAAATACTTCAACACACAAGTAAAGCTTTTACTGTTTGCAGTAAAAGCAGGTATGAAGAATGGAAATCCATTTTGTTAAATGGAAAAAAAGGTAATTCTGTCCTAGAGTTGGTTGTTTCTGAATGGTAAAGAAACTCAGGGACAAAATAATATAGGTATAGAAAGTTTTAGAAAGTGTGTGAAAAAGGAACACTTAGAAAAGTTCATGTATGGGCCTGGTCAGTATTGGCTGTGATTAGACTGAATTTAAGTAAATAAATTTTATTACCAAGAACAGGCTGATAATGCAAGACTTGAATTTGGATTTTTGGTTTCCTCTCTCTGCTTTCCCAGCAGAAAATAAAGTTTCCTTAGAGTGCTAAGCTGCTTTTGTCTTTTTGAGAGATCTGATTTTAACTTCATGTATTTGTTTACCTTTGAGATCTTTTATTGTCACTTTGGTTGGGTGAATGGTTATTGTTTCACAGTGACTTATCATCTTCTTTGACTTTTTAGTATTTTCTGACAAGTGCCCCAAATATCAAATTTGACCTGAAGTTCTTTTTGTCCTCCAGCTAACTTTGGGGTGCTTCAGAGGAACCCTTGTGGCATCTCAGAGATTAAATTAACTAGGACAATTCAGTATGTTAAATTACGTGGGAAACATTGCCAAATGAGAGATAAGCCTCCTCAGGTTATATTGTGTAGGCAAATGTTTTTACATTCTTAAAATTACATGGAATACAACATTGTGAATCAACTATACTCCAATAATAATTTAAAGAAAATTATATAGGGACTTCCCGAGCAGTCCAGTGGTTCAGTCTCCAAGCTTCCACTCTATGGGGCATGCATTTGATCCCTGGTCGGGGAACTAAGATCTCCACATGCCACAGGGTGTGGCCAAATAATTAATAATAAAATAACATGGAATTTCTAAAATTCTGGTGTGTCCTAACAAAATGGTACCCATAATTCTAGTTATTACAACCAAGTCTGTCAGTGACATTGAGATCAGTTGTTTCACTGTACCTTTTAAGTCTTGTCATTCAATTACTGTCTTACTGCTTTTGCAAAAGTGCTTCATCTTCAAGAAGATTCATAGGAAAGGCTTTTTGACATGCCCTAGTTTCTAATAGATTTCAAATCATACCCATGAACTGGGTAAGCAAGTAAAGAATCCTAAAAGGAAAACCTAGTGGCTTCATAAAAAATGTTAACAACAACAACAAAAAAGAGTACTACGGACTTCCCTTAGTGGTACTGTGGATAAGAACCCACCTGACAATGCAAGGGACATGGGTTCGATCCCTAGTTCGGGCAGATTCCACATGCTTCAGGTCAACTAAGCCCCAGTGCAGCACAACTACTGGCCCACATGCTGCAACTACAGAAGCCTGCATGCCCAAGAGCCAGTGCTCCACAACAAGAGAAGCACCGCAGTGAGAAGCCTGTGCGCCCCAGCTAGAGAGTGGCCCCTGCTCGCTGCAACTAGAGGAAGTTAGCGCACAGCAACCAGAACCAGCACAACCAAGAATAAATAAGTCTCTTTAATGTTATTTTAATTTATATATATAATGCATTGTGTTGATAAGAGATTTAAGATTCATATCTTTACATTTAACTAAATCTTTTGGGGACAAGATTTAGGGGACAAAAATTCCTTAAAACTGCTAGATTCACTGCTTGCAAATCTTTATATATACAAAAAAAATCTTTCATTTTTCTTTCTGTACTACCTTAAGATTAAAATTATTCCATCACAAAAGGAACGGGGTGTGCACTGGAACATTTTCTAAAAACAGTTAACAGTAATTGTGTTTTCAAATGACGAACAGTTGCAAGGACCTGGTTTGTCTTCTTTTTTAATGCTTTTTCCAGAATGATTTTCTTTCAGTTTTATTGAGATATAATTGACATACAACATTATAGTCATTTAAGGTACAACCAAGAACCTGTCTCTTTTTTTTTGCTTGTATTTTAAGGGTTAAGGGGCTTGCCTACTGCTGTCCCACAGACCAGGAACCCTCTCCCCTTTAGAGCTTCGGGAAAACTCTCAGCATCAGAAGAGTTTGTCAGACTCCCCTTGGTGGCTATTCTGTTCCCCAAATGGGGAGGGGGATGCACTGGGGCACTAAACTTCCTCAAGAGCTAACCTATTTAAAATTTTTTTCCTTCTCTAAAAGGTCCCCCTGTCTATGTTACCATCTGCCTTTGGTGCTCTGTCCTCAGAGCTTGGACTTGCAAGTCGAGGAGTTTTTTTCTGGGGCCATTAGTAAATCTTCCCACTTACATCCATATCCTACCTCCAATCACAACAGTCTATGACTCTACAGTACTGCAGGTTTAGATGTGCTGTTCTTGTATTTTTTTCTTAATCCACATAAGTAAGTCAAGGGAGACAGGGAGTCAGGGAGACATGAATTTGAAACATTCCTCTAAAGTTACCCTAGAAATCCTGAATAAACTGCCCTTTGGACTCTTTAACTTACTGTCTTCATCTCCAAAACAGAAAGCAGCAGCCACATAAGGCTTTGAGGATTAAATTTTAAAACACTTAAACAAAGGGTCTGGCTCACAAGGCAAATAATTGTAAACAAATGATAAAATTTGCAGATATTTTCATCATTGTGAAAAGTCTGTCATGCTCTGAAGAACCTAAATCCTCCCTCTTCATTTTCATGTGTACAGCATTATATTTTAAATTTTGTGTGTACTACAGCATGCTCACCACCAAAAGGATCATTTCCATCCATTACCAGACAGTTGGTCCCCTTTACACATTTCAGCCTCCCCCACTCCTTGCCCTTCTGGGAAGTACTACTCTGTTCCCTGGGTCTATGTATTATTTGGTTTGGTTTCTTCCTTTATTAAAAAAATTGTTATACTCCGCATGAGTGAAATCATACAGTATTTTTCTTTCTCTGGACTTTATGCTAAGTGAAAATAATACCATCAAGGTCCATCCAAGTTGTCACAAATATCAAGATTTCATTCTTTTATTTTTATGGTTGAGTAAGATTCCACTGTGTAATATACACCACATCTTCTTTATCCATTCACCTGTTAATGGACAGTTAGGTGGCTTCCATATCTTGGCTATTATAAATAATGCTGCAATAAATATGGAGGTGCACATATCTTTTCGAATTAGTGTTTCCCTTTCCTTCAAATAAACACCCAGGATTAGAACTGCTGCATCATCCCTCCCTTTTTAAACTTTACAATAGTGTAAGTGAAATATGTATCTTTCCCTTTTGCCCATAAAACTATCACAACTGCATTTTAACACAGATATTATTTCTCTCTCGGCTTAAAAATATTAATAGGAGTGTACCATGAAATCAAATTGGACACACACACCTTAGAGAACATGGGTAGGAGTAAGTAATTTATGTAACAAATTAAAGCACTCATCTAAACTGTTTATAAAATTAGAGATACATATTTAAGATTCTAATCAAATAAAAATATGCATTAGCTTAGCTATCTTGCTCTACCAAATAATGTGGGTATGGGCACTAATATTTGGATACCCAAAATACAATACAAAATGTATCCTACAAACTGTAATGATTGGTCAACTTACAAGCACAGTAGAATATAGGAACTTGGCTTCCCTTGTGGCTCAGCTGGTAAAGAATCTGCCTGCAATGAGGGAGACTTGGGTTCGATCCCTGGGTTCGAAAGATCCCCTGGAGAAAGGAAAGGCTGCCCACTCCAGTATTCTGGCCTGGAGAATTCCATGGACTGTATAGTCCACGGGGTCACAAAGAGTCAGACACAACTGAGTGACTTTCACTTTCACTTTACTTAACAAGAAGCAAATATTCCTATGCCAAACATTTTAATCATCTACACTCTCTAATTAAATTAGTAAATCCCTTCTCGAAGACTCAGAAATGGACTCAGGCTAAAATAGACAAAAGGTAGTGGTTGCCAGGTCATAAAAAGGTACATGAGGACTTCCCTGGTAGTTCAGTGGGTAAGAATCTGCCTGTCAATGCAGGGGATACATGCTCGATCCCTGGTCCGGGAAGATTCTACATGCCATGGAGCAAATAAGCCTGTGCACAAGCCACAACTACTGAGCCCATGCGCCTAGAACCTCTGCTCCACAAGAGAAGCCACCGCAATGAAAAACCTGTGCTCCCCAACTACAGAGTAGCCCCTGCTCACTGCAGTGAGAGAAAGCCCACTTGAAGCAACAATGACCCAGCATAGCCAAAAATAAATAATGTTTAAAAGGTACATGACATCTTTTATACAAGAATGTATTCATGTTATTAAATTCAAAGCATCTGGAATTGGCAATTTCTTTTATTAGATGTACACACTTTCCCTGGATATAAATATATATAGAACTCACGTAAGGGAATAAAGGGCAGCAGAACAGACTATCTCAAAACAGCAAATGTAGAGAGGCTTTCTCTGAACTCCCCCTTATCTACCTAAAGACAGAGCCCCCAAAAGGAACTAAAGCATCAAAGATCCCACCCCGAGGGATTCAACCAGGGAAGATGGCCTCTTATCACGGCAGAAGAGGCTGACACCACACCCAAACTTTTCCACAAAGTATCACACCTCTTTCTCTACTCTTCTAAGGGCCCTGTCCATTTTTCCTAAGTCATTTACTCTCACCTAAGACACCTTTGAACTGTGGTGTTGGAGAAGACTCTTGAGAGTCCCTTGGACTGCAAGGAGATCCAACCAGTCCATCCTAAATAAGATCAGTCCTGGGTGTTCACTGGAAGGACTGATGTTGAAGCTGAAACTCCAGTACTTTGGCCACCTCATGCGAAGAGTTGATTCATTGGAAAAGACCCTGATACTGGGAGGGATTGGGGCAGGAGGAGAAGGGGACGACAGAGGATGAGATGGCTGGGTGGCATCACCAACTCAATGGGCATGAGTTTGAGTAAACTCCGGGGGTTGGTGATGGACAGGGAGACCTGGCGTGCTGCGATTCATGGGGTCGCAAAGAGTCGGACACGACTGAGCAACTGAACTGAACTGAACTGAAGACACCTACGTCCCCCTTTCCCTGTTAGGATCATACTTAAGCCTAAATTCTAAAGCCACCTCTGAGTTGCTCATCTTCCTGTGTATCTTCCATGTATACGAGTGTAAAATGTTAATGAATCTTGTTTTTCCTCATTAGTCTTATTACAAGGGGTCTCGGGCAAGCATTGGAAGGGTAGAAGGAAACTTTTTCCTCTACTACAAGATCATCCATCATCTTGATTATCTTCCTCTTTTAAAAAAATATATTATTTATTAATTTATTTGGCTGCAATGGGTCTTAGTTGGGGCATGTGGGATCTAGTTCCCTGACCAGGGATCACACCCGGGCCCCCTGCATTGGGAGTTTGAAATCTTTAGCCACTGGACCACCAAGGAAGTCCAGATTATTTGTCTTCTTAACCAATTACACTTAAAGCTGTTTTAAGAAGGCACAGTTGTGATCAATAACATCATATTATCATCTGACTTAATAAAAAACACTTATCTGGTAAAAATAATTACCTGATAGCAGTCTCCTTTAAGATTGTCTAAGACATCACCACACGTTTTTCGCATGTATTTCTTACATCCGTCAATCACCATTTGGTCAATGTTCAAAAAAGGTTAAGGAGAAATTTCCCCTGGATTTGAACATGTCAAAGGATTCTGAAATAGTTTTTTAAAAGGTAAAGATGAACATAACATTTTTCACACTAATTTGGGTACTATAAAGTTTAAAAAAATGATGGACGAGACAATGACTTCATTTGAGCACCAAGGACACTCAAAAGGCACTGAATTTCCTTCTAATGGAGAAGCCGTCTCAGCAACTGCTGGGCAGCTGACACGGTGCAAAGGTTGGCTGCTCTTTAATTCTCAACTCTGCTTCTTTGCTGGTGGCCTGCTGGTAGCCATATAAAAAGGCTACTGGTACTAAGTTGAAATCTTTGTTCAAAGTAATCTTATAACATTAACTGTAGTACTAAGATAAAAAAGGAGGAAGAGAATAAAATCCACCAAACTTAATCTCTTATACAACAAAGGATATCTCTACCATAGTCACCATCTTTGGTTTCAGTTTGACTATTTCACATAATATGCCCCCATCTCCACCTCCCAGAATCAGTACATCTTTGCCACTGTAATCTTCTTTGCCACTGCCCATGATGGCCCGGGTATACGCCAAATCACTTTCCGCCAAATCTAGGGAGGAGAAACATCCAAAACAGTGACTTAACCAAGGTCTCAGAGCACCTGACTTATCATTCCAGAAATTGCTAGAATCTAGAAAATTCAGACATTTTCCTTTTCAGTCTTTAAAAACTCAGCATATGGAAGGTTTTAGTGTTTTTTTTTTCTTTTGGATTGTGGACTTTTCTTCATCCCTACTCGACTAACCCCCAACATGTTACCTACATAGATTATACACACATATAGCTTAGTTTAGAAGAAAATTCAGTCTTTAGCCTGTTCAGATATGATAATTAAAAAGTAATTATGTATTTCTAGATGAAATATAACAGCAGAGTTGCTTCAAAAGAATATGAGAGGGAGAAAAGTGACTGGAGTTTAAGGGAAACAAGACTGGCCAGGAGTTTATCATTGTTGACACTCAATGGTGAGTATACGTGGGTTCATCTGACTGTTGTGTCTACTTTGATTTGAAATTTTCCACAACAAAGAGACTTCCAAATAAACAAGCAATTAATATAAAATAACCAACAAGGACCTACTGTATAGCACAGGGAACTAGACTCAATATCTTAACAATAACCTATAACAGAATGTTAATAAATATGTATTTTATGTCTATGTATAACATAAAAAAAGTATCAAGACAAATTTTTCATGGCTCTACTATAAAATATGAAAACCCAGACAAGTCACAGGTAAATCTAATGTAAATATTAATCTCAAAAACCAAACACACACAAAAATAACCAGCAGTGCCCAACGACACACCTGGACAAACCCACAATGGTGGTATGTCATGAAAACACAATCTAAAATTGTCACTTTGTTATGTGATTGGGGTAGAGATGGAATACTTACTAACATCTCCACTGAGGATGAGAATATTCCCAAATTGCTTTGAGTGTAAAATTTTAATGTTCTGGTAAGGTGAGTCTTCATCATACACCACTTTATCTATGTCGTACTCAACCAGGCGGCCATCCGCAGTGGGCCAGTATCTGTCGATGGCCCCTCCTCGAACTATGGGTGGTAATCTGGAAAAAAGGGGAAAGAAGGAAAATAGGAATGAGCCTTATGACAAAGTCTGCTTAGGTGAGGCCACCTGAAAAGAAGACCTAGGAACAAGAATGTTCCATGGAGCCACAGAGCCTAAGGCAGACTCCTAAATAGTACACAACCAACCAAAAACTTGAACTTTGAGGGCTACGTAAGAATGGCCACCACCAAATTTCAACAGTGCTGTACATTAAGAATTAACTTGGGGCTTCCCTGGTTAGAATCTTCCTGCCAATGGAGAAGACGCAGGTTCGATCCCTGGTCCAGGAAGATGCCACAAGCTACGGAGCAACTAAGCCCATGCACAACTACTGAGCCTGTGTTCTGTGTATGTGCTCAGTTGCCAACTCACATCCAACTCTTTGTGACTCCATGGGCTGCAGCCCACCAGGCTCCCTTGTCCATGGGATTTTCCAGGCAAGAATACTGGAGCCTGAGCTTTAGAGCCCAAGAACCGTAACTATTGAGCCCACATACTTGTAGCAACTACTGCAGTCCATGCTCCACAAGAAGAGAATGAGAAGCCCTCACACCACAACTAGAGAGTACCCCCACTTGCCACAACTAGAGAAAAGCCCAGGCAGCAACAAAGACCAGGCATGCCAAAAATAAACAAAAAATAATTTTAGAAGCACCTCTGCAAAAAAAAATTAATGTATTTGGCTGTGCCAGATCTTAGTTGCAGCATGCAAACTCTTAATTGCAGCATGTGGGATCCAGTTCCCTGACCAGGGGTCAAACCTGGGCCCCCTGCATAGGGAGCTTGGGATCTCAGCCACTGGACCACCAGGAAAGTCCCAAGAATTTACTTTTTAAAAAGACCTTTCTGTAATACTTTAAATTTTCCCTAAAAAATGAAAAAAAAGTTGAAGGAGAAAGTGGCCACTAGAGATATCACACTTCACACCCAAATACTTTAGCAGGAAGGACTCCTCAAGAATGTCTGTGTCACCACTTTGTCACTAGCACATGCATCCAAGTGCACACACATGTAATACCATCACCTAGCTCGGAATCCATGTTTAAGTGTTCCCAACTGCCCCAACTATCTCCTTCATAACTATTCTACTTTTGAATAAGAATCACATACTGTATTTTGCTTTTTTACCCTCATTTCATCTAAAATAGATAGTTGTCACTGTCATCCCTTCCCCGTGTTTCATGACTTTCACATCTCAGCAAAGTCCAGACAAGGTGTTCTGCAGAAAATCCCTCAGGGGGGTTTGCCTGAACATCTCATCAGTAGGGTCACGTTGGCACATTATGCACCCATCACATCAGGGACGCTGAGATGTATGCCTGTCCTAATTGGTGATGCTAAGTGTGACCATGTGGTTAAAGCCGCGTTAACGCCCCCAAGATCCCTCCATTTGCAAAGGTACCTTCTGTCCCTTGGTAATTATGAAGCAGGGTGTGTGGGGGGCTGGAGGGGGAAGTCCATGAAATCCGGGTCAAGAAAACCGGGTCAAGTTCCTGATCTCTTGACACACCTTCACCAGTGGCATCTAGAAGATTCTTGCCTGAACCAATTAGTATGGGAATGTCTGCCGACTGGTGATTTTCTTTCAGTCCTTTTTGTAACTCCTGAGTGTCTTACAGAGTATCCCAGAAACTGCCGGCAGAGGACGCTACATGACAGGGAAAACCAGACTCAGCAAGGAGGCTTGGCCAAGGAAGGGGACACAGACCAGGTGAGCTCACCGCACACACAGCACAACCACGCGCAAGTTCTGTGTCCGCAAATACAGTGAGGTGCGCAGTAAGCAATCCCCAGGTACCTAAAACGCTGGGCTACCTCTGACTTGCTCTCCAAAGTCTTTGCTCACCCTGCTCACTTGTTTTCAAGAATACAGTCTGAACCTGTTACAGGTTAACAAGGCTTTCAATGAAGAAATAACTGCGTGTGTGCTAAGTCTCATCAGTCATGTCCTACTCTGTGCAACCTCATGGACTGTAGCCCACCAGGCTCCTCTGTCCACGGAATTTTCCAGGAAAGAATCCTGGAGTGGGTTGCCATTCCCTTCTCCAGGGGATCTTCCTGACTCAGGGATTGAACCCGTCATCTCTCACGTCTCCTGCACTGGCAGGCAGGTTCTTTACCACTAGCGCCATCTGGGAAGCCCCATGAGGAAATACTAATATCCGTCAAGGGCACTGAATTTACAAAGCAAGTTTCCATAAACTATCATTTAATCCCAACTCCTCCTGATTTAACCACTTCTTCACCTTCTAGAACAAATGCAGCTGTTGGAATTAGGCAGTAAGGGATTTTTCTTGTAAAACGTCATTGCCCCGGCAGGACAACCCTTGAGAGCAGGCAAACAGGACTAGGGAGAAGCCTCTTCCACCCCTGGCTGATGAGTGGTGGGAGCATGAGCCCCTGTGACACAGTATGAAAGCACCAAACAGCAATTCAAGGTAGGAAACCTACCCCTGGGGGTTGACAGCCAGCTATAGGCAGTTCCTGAACTCTTGCGCAAAACCAATGTAAACAACGTCCATTCTCAATTGCATCAATGGTGCCTTAGGTTCAAGTAGAGCTCTTTATTGCAACACAGTCCTTTTTAAAGAGATCCAAAGAAACAAGGATCTGAAAGGATGGCTTCACCTTGATGAATTACTCATTCTATGATACCAGCAGGACCCTGGGGGCTCCTAGGCACAAAAGTCTTTCTGTGTCCCTCCATTTCTTGACTACAGGAAATAGGCTTCCTTCAGCCTCCAGGATCTTCCCTGAGTTCCAGGGAGCAGGTTCAAACACATGCTAATCAGAGAAGGGAGGGGATATTGACACAAAGGTAGAACAGTCAGAAGAAACAATAGGGCAGCCTTGGAGTAGAGTCCTGGTTCCCATCAAGGGATACACACAACGACATCTTTGAGAAGTTTGCAAAGACTGAAATTCTCACCAGGTAGGAGAAATTAAAGGTATGCTGCCCACAGGGGAGTAATCATTTCAGATGTTCCTGAGTCATTCCTTAACGGTTCAGTCTCTAACAATGTCATCCTCAGACAGCAAAGTGGCACCATTCTTGTCCCTTTGAGGCCAAAAACAAAGGCCCTACAACAAAGTATTCCCAACAGCTTCCTGCCCCCTCCACCCTGATTTTATAAAAAGGTGTAAAAACAGTGACAAGAAGAACAAGGCTTGTGCTGTGTTTTGTCACTTCAAAAACTCCCACACCACAACCACACAGGAACCAGATTTCATGAGTGCTGGCCCATAAACGCATTTCATCTATTCATTCACTGCTAGAAGTAACCCCAATAAAAACCACACTAATAAAAAAAAAATCTGGCATTTTGATGTTGGCCAATTCATTATCACCAAACTAAAGACACAGTGGGAACCCATTCAATTCAGATGGATCAATTCAGGAAAGATTAGGAAAACTTTGCAAACAGGAAAATAGGGAAATTTCAGAAAAGATTGTGGGTATGGACAAGTTACTTGAGGATGAGGAAGGGCCTGAGGATACGTAAACTGAACGTGGGGGATAAATAAGTCTGGCTCCTCTGACAGATTTCAATCAAACGGCCAAGTTCTATGCTATGTCCTGCTCTCTTCACATGCAGTTCCCTGCCTTGTATTCAAGTTGGAGGTTAAACAAATTTCTAATTATTCTATACCTGCCCTGGGGCTTTCCTCTGCTGCTGCTGCCGCTGCTAAGTCACTTCAGTCATGTCCGACTCTATGTGATCCCATAGACAGTAGCCCACCAGGCTCCCCCGTCCCTGGGATTCTCCAGCAAGAACACTGGAGTGGGTTGCCATTTCCTTCTCCAATGTGTGAAAGTGAAAAGTGAAAGTGAAGTCGCTCAGTTGTGTCCAACTCTTAGTGACTCCATGGACTGCAGCCTACCAGGCTCCTCCGTCCATGGGATTTTCCAGGCAAGAGTACTGGAGTGGGGTGCCATTGCCTTCTCCAGGGGCTTTCCTCTAGGCTGATCAAATTTAGCAGGATGAATCATTAAGTACTTAAACATCCTTCAACAGCCAGTAAGGATTCCTTCTTGTGGAAAATGCCCTGAACTGGAGAAGTCTGTATTCTGGTCACTTCCAATAGTGATGGTCTGACCTTAATCAAGTCTCTCTGTGTTATTGCATCTATGTATTTGCCTTTATGAGCAAGCTGTTATTGTTGTTCAGTTGCTAAAGTCCTGTCCGGCTCTTTGCAACCCCATGGACTGCAGCATGCCAGACTTCCCTGTCATCATCATCTCCCAGAGCTTGCTCAAACTCATGTCCATCGAGTCGGTGATGCCATCCAACCATCTCATCCTCTGTCGTCCCCTTCTCCTCCTGCCTTCAATCTTTCCCAGCATCAGGGTCTTTTCCAATGAGCCGGCTCTTCACATCAGGTGGTCAAAGTACTGGAGCTTCAGCATCAGTCCTTCCAATGAATATTCAGGACTGATTACCAGGACTGACTGGTTTGAATTCCTTGCTGTCCAGGGACAGACCCATCTAGGGGGTCTGGTAAGGAATCACCCAGAGAGAGCAAGGCCAAACCGCTCAGAATAACTTATTGTGGAGCCATGATTCACTCACATTCTTCATTCCCAGGACCTGCCAGACTCTACCCCTCCCAAAGAATGCCAAAACTTCACTTCTATCAGAGCTCTTCTAACATCTGACACCACTAGCACATATGTCTGTGCCATCCAGCAGAACATTTCTCTGTGTTGTCCAACATGGCAGTCACTAGCCATTAGCTAGTGACAAAAGATGAGTAAGGAAATGAACTGTTTTTGTTCTTTTTATTAACTTAGTTTTAAACAGACACAGGTGGCATAGTAGCTGTACTCCTCAACAAAAGCTTAATGGTCTTTGTCATCAACTGAAAAGGACCTACTGGGGGTGCTCAAGGTGGGTTGCCTCTGATGTTCTTACAGTGTCAATATCACCCTACCTGAAAGCACTGAGGCAAATTTTCTATCATCCCATCCTGTCAAAATCTCTTAAAACTGCTTAATTCTACTGTGGGGCCCAGAACTCTGAGGAAAGATAGATGATTTTTTTCTCTTCACAGGAAAGATAAGATGATTTTTTTCTCTTCACTGGACACGGTCAAGAAGGAGTTTCCCAGCTCCTCTTTGAGGTGCCAGCCCCATCTGATTCTCTGCATTACAGTTTCACCCCTCAGGATCACTGTACACTCCTTTCTGCCTCTGTTCCATTTTATCTAGCATCTCTCCCTCTCTCCCTCTCTCTCTCTCTCTCTCTCTCTCACACACACACACACACACACACACACACAGAGTCTTCTGCCATCAGGGCCATCTACATTAGCCTATCAAGTGGCCAGAAGCAGAAGTTGACTGATCTCTTCCACATCTTACATAGACACTGCTCAGGGATAACACCACCATTGCGATTATTATATTGATTGTTTTTATTGTTGTTTAGTCACTCAGTCATGTCCAACTCTCTGCAACCTCATGTACTGTAGCCTGCCAGGATCCTCTGTCCACAGGATTCTCCAGGCAAGAATACTGGAGTGGGCTGTCATGCCCTTCTCCAGGGGATCTTCCCCACCCAGGAATCGAACCCACATTTCCTGCACTGGCAGGCAGATTCTTTATCATCTGAGCCACAAAGGAAGCCCGTTTTATCAATTAACCAAATATAAAAGAACATTCAGGAGTGGACTTACCGCTTTACCCGCTCAGTACTGTCCTGACTCAATTCTTTCATTCTTTCTTCTACTTTGTTCAAAAGCTGCAATTACAAGAAAAGAAATCGATGGGCTTATCAAACAAGCTGAGTAGAAGAGCTAAATTACAGCCCAGAAGGTCAGTGTCATGTTGACAGAGCTGCTACTCTGGCAGGGGTCCAAACACACTTGTCCTCCCTCACCTCTCCAGCAGCCTGTGGGCCTGGCCCAACTCCACACTCCCCTGTCATCGACCCCTCCCACTGCCAACCTCACTTCAGTCTATGGTATCAACAGTATCAAAAGGTATCCTAAGTAATAGGAAAGGGGAAGGCTCAAGGATACTGCAGCTATGATATCCTGGTTAAAGGTTTACATTCCCTCCAGTGCAAAGTCAAGTCATTACTCAGTACTCAAGTGGCCAAGGGAAAGATGAGAACCAGGGTCCTAAAAATCACTTGAGGAATAATTATTTTTCTTCTAAAATCACTTATCTGAAGGCAGCCAAGTTTAAAATTAACTGGGATGTCAACAATTAGGTGAAAATGATTTTATCATTGAACTGAGCCGTTTTTGTTATCCTTAAATACTTGAGTAAATAAAAGTGGAAAACTGACACTATCGACTTCTTTGCCTTGTGCATCGCCGTCGTAACTCTGAAGATCCAGCAACACCAATCCATGCGGGTAAATTCTCAAATTGGCAAAGCTACAGAGGAGAGCATAATTATAAGGTTAGGAACTGTATCATGGCACTCCAAAGAAAAAAGGCACCAACCCAATTAAAAGGCAAAACCACTGCTCTTTTCCCCCTAAATAACATAATTAACCCTGTGGCTTTCTTATTAGAAGCCTCTTCATGGGGGCAGGGAGGCCAAACATTTAGGCAAGATTTTAGACAGAATCATCAAGTGCTAAGGTTTTCAAACAGGTTATTGGGCCCAGAAAGTGATTCAGCAGGAAGTCCTGTGAATCTGATTTTTAAGAAGGTTCCTCAGCAGTGACTGATCCCTCCTTAAAAGGATGGGAGGGTGGGGCAGAGCAAACTCAGTTCTCCCAATTACCCTTGGAGTTCAAAACAGAGCCAAAACAGAGCCGTGTTTTTCTGACTGTAAACAGGTGGTGGCTACATTCATTGAGTTAGCGGCCTACAAGTCAGATCCAGCCCTTGGCATGTTTTGTAAAGCATGCAGATTAAATATGGTTCTTACATTTTTAAAGAGTTGTTTAAGGAAAAAAAAGGAGTATGTGACAGGGACCTTATTTAGCTCCTTACGGGAAAAGCTTTAACCTCTAATTCAGTGTCTGACCAGCTTTTTTGTGAAATAAAATTAGTGTATCACACATGTATAAGAATTATCTGAATAAACTTTTCCTTCAATTCGACGTGTATATTTGTATATATGCAGATATGTATGTGCACATCTGATATAAAATCACTTCTTTTTTTAAAATATTTATTTGGTTACGCCAGTCTTAGTTGGGGCATGAGGGATCTAGTTCCCTGACTGATGATCAAATCGGGCTCCCTGCATTGGGAGCAAGGAGTCTTAGCCATAGAACCATCAGGGAAGTTCTAAAATCACTTATCTTACTATAAGGTGTGGTTAAAGAAACATTTGAATGATAATACTAAATAAGATGAAGAATTCTGTTCAGAGAATACAAGCAGTGTGCTTAGATTAAAAAAGATAAACACAACTAGTTAATTTTCACCTTCAGTCCTTAAATGGCCTCAAAATCAAGTTCAGGCCAGGGGCACCACTGACTCACGTACACCTGAACTAGCTGATCACGCCCCCTCCCAATCCGCCACACAAAGGAGAGGAGCCAGGAGTCAAAGAACGATAGAGAAATGCCACCTCTTAACCAGCTAGGTGGTTCTAGCACAGAATCCCCCACCAGGGGGCCACAGGAACATGGAGATGCCGGAAGGTGGGGACAAGCACTGACCTCATCTGATTAAAAGCAAAAATAATGAAAGAGGAAAAGTTGCAAGGGGGTGGGGGGAAAATGGAGACCAAAAAAAAGGTGACTGAGGACCAAGACCTCTGGCAGCATGGGGATGGGTCCCAGCTGAGCAAGTGACAGAAGAGGAAGATCAACGTGGAAACAAATCTTTCAGCACGTTAGCGACTTCCCTGTTGGTCTAGTGGTTGGGACTCCGCGCTCCCACTGCAGGGGGCCCAGGGTCCATCCCTGGTCAGGGAACTAAGAGCCAGCAAGCTGTGTGGCAAGGCCAAGAAAAAAGTAAACTAAGCATGTTAATTTCTCTCTTCTCTGTTTTCAGAAGCAATTTCCAACAGCTCTTATCACTCAAAAACTCCCTTCCAGGAAGAATTCTAAGTCTTCTAGAAAACTGGGATTGGTGTCTAGGGTAGAAGATTCAAGAACTGAAGTAGAGTGGTTGGCCCTGTCCAGCCCCAAAGGTCCTTAGGAGATGCAAGGGGCTTCCCTGGTGGCTTCGTAGAAAAGAATCTGCCTGCCAATGTGGGAAATGCGGGTTCCATCTCCAGGTTGGAAAGATGCCCTGGAGAAGGAAACAGCAACCCACTCCAGTATTCTTGCCTGGGAAATTTCATGGACAGAGAAGCCTGGCAGGCTACAGTCCATGGGGTTGCAAAGAGGCGCACAACTGAGCGACTACACAACAACAAGAGATTCAAGGCTTCAACTGGATTAGAGGAGGAACCTGACAACGTGGCAGAGAGGTAAGGTCTGACTTGCTGTGGTCCCCAAGTTACAGACCTGAGCTAGGACAGGGAGAGAGGAGGGCAGGGAGAAAGGAGAAGAGAGGCTTGAGGATGTAAGGCCAGATGCAGACCTCTGCTTCCAGGAGACTTGCCAGTAACTGGGCGAGGACGGAGGCAATGGAGGGTCTGGGTCACCCTTGAGAGGAAATCACTTTAGATACATTGGAGGGATCTACTCTGTGCATATATGGGGATTTGCTATGCAGTCAGAAATACAGATTTGGGCTTGAGGGCACAGGGGTTAAGGTTTCTTTGAGAGGTGTAGATATGTTCACAGGGAAGAACTATGTAGACTTACAAAAAGAATAATAGAGCTCAAAAGAACAAATTTTCTTCACCTCACGACATTGTCTTTTGAGCCTCTGTAAGATGGGGTGGGGGGTTCTTTTAGTTAGAAAAACAAGGGGGAGAATGTGGGACATTAATGAAACCTTGTAGAATTCTAGGACTTAGTTTCCATTGGGAGAAAAGAACGAAAGCCATCAAAAATACACAGGAGTTCACATTTTAAAATTAACAGTGCAAATTACTATGACTCTTAACAGTTTTAGACTCTAGAAGATACTACATAGACTTAGGGAAATACACAGAACTCACTGCACCAGTATCTTCTGTGATCAGTCATTTCTTTTTTTCTTTTTAACTTGGCTGCGCCAGGTCTTAGTTGCAGCAAGCAGGATCTTTTTAGCTGCAGCATACAGGCTCTTAGGTACAGCATGCAGGATCCAGTTACCCGACCAGGGATGGAACCAGGCAGCCCCACATTGGGAGCACAGTGTCCCAACCGCTGGACCACCAGGGAAGTACCCTGTTCTCAGTCATTTCTTAATTGAGGTTTCCTTCCCTAGTCTCAGGTTGACTTTCATTTCCATACTGATCAGAGAAAAAGTCTAGACAGATCATCTATAAAGTCTTAAGGAGAAAACAAAACCCAAAATCTTAAACTCCTGGATGCCCCCAGCTTCCTATCAAGCTCTTTGCAGACTTTTTCATCCTGCATTTGACTACGGTCTGCATTAACTGATAACCACTTATTACACTGCTACTCACAATGGGGTCAAGTGACCCACAGCATCAACATCCTCTGAGAGGAGCTTGTCAGAAATACTATTTGGGGTGCGGTCCCAGACCTGCTGCAGCAGAAACTCTCAGAGTGGAGCACAGCGCATCTGGATCATGGCCTGCCAGTTCACACTGCTTATGCTGCCGGAGGCTTCTGAGTCGGGCACACAGAATCACCTGAGGGTCTTTAGAGAAACAGCAACACCCAGTGGCCTTAATCTCTAGGGGGAGTGCCTGGGCATGGGATTCTATGATGATGATTCTATTGGGAAGCTAGAAGCACTGGATTCTAGTCCCCTCCTCAAATATGTCAAAGGAGGAAAAGAAAAAAATTCTGGATACCTCCCACCACCACTCTTTACACACACACACACACACACACACACACACACACACAGCTAAAGCGCTCAATCTGGATGCCCCCCACCACCAGTCTTTACATACACACACAGTTGAAGTGCTCAGATCTGAACAGGAGCGCTCACGGTCACCTCACCTGCCATTTTTGTTTATGTACGTCGCCAAATAGCCATGGTCCTGCCAGGTGTGCACTGACTCCGTCATCCCCTGCTCCTGGAAAATGGACTGGAGGCCTTTCAGAATGGTCTCACCATCAGCTGGAGAACAGGGGGAGAAGGCAAGATGGTCAGCTGAAACACTGAGAAGCAAAGCACAGTTTGATGAATGAACTTTTGAGAAACCCTGAACAGAGCTATGGGCATCACTTATCCCCTTTGTCATGAGCTAGAACTTGCTCAACCCCATAGGGAGAGGCTGCAGATTACCAGGTAACACAGTAAGAATGGCAACACCCAACCACAGAATAGCTGTGCCAAAAATGCAGACAGATAATTCAGCCAACTAGAAATAGCATAACAAAATATTCAGCCTAGCCAGAAATCAAACAAAAACATGATAAAAGACATTCCACTTTAAGTGAAATAAACTTAATGAGGATCTAGAGTACTAGAAAAGGGTTTCCATCCACTGTTGATGGGTATCATAAATGACCTCAAAACTTCTGACTCTGTATTCCAGGTGTTCTACAATAAGGATGCCTTGTTTTCTTTATTGGGGGAAAAAAAGAAATAGCACCACTCAGTAACCTATTTTTAATTGGTAGAAACTGAACAATTCAATATGCTACAACCTGCTAGGCATTCTGATGCCCCTCTCTCCCATCCCACCCACTACTCCCCAACCCCCACCAAAGAGGAGCTCAGGTCAAGGACTGAGTTCAAGGTTATAGAAACTGCATTAACCTCTGCAGGTTTACTTGAATCCAGAATCTTCACAAACATCCAACAGTATGATACTTAGATGAAAAGCAAAATGCAATGAATTCTCTAGTTGTATCTGCCAAAGTACTCATTCCTTGAGAAGGTTAAGGATAAAGAACCACAATAAGACAAAAAGAATTACTCTGTACTGTCCCATGAGCCCACCACAGGCTGATTCTTTTTCCACATGAAGGAAAAGAGGGCAGGCTGAGAAGCGGCAAAACAAAGCACCCCTGTGACTTAAACCAAGAGCAAAAAGAAAAAAAAAAAAAAAACGGAAAATCCACAGTTGACCGCAGTGTGGTTTCACAAGAAAATTACACTAGAATTCCTTCCATAAACCAAGGAGTGCCAAAATGGACTGGAAGAATTCCTTCAATCTACACAGAGTTGATCTCCAATGACATCTGGAACTAGGCCTTCCAGCGCCTAGTCCACCTTCCAGCGCACAGTCAGAATAAGGGCTACAAAACTAGGTTCAGAGCCCACACTGGGCAGCAGATATGTCTTATTCTGGCCTATGCAGACATTTTTAAGTTAACTGGAGTCTGAAAACCAGGTGATTTCATCTATTCCCACTGTTGGGGGTAGAAAAGTGGCCCCCCAAAATATATGGCCACATTCTAACCCTCAGAACTTGGGAGTGCAACCTGATCTGGAAAAGGGTTTTTGCAGATGCAGCAGTTAATTTAAAGATGCCGAGATGGATGATCTTCGAGTATCCAGGGAGCTCCTAATTCCAATAAGTCCTTATCAGAGACTGAAGGGAGGAGGAGCAGGAGCAGGTGAAGACAGGGAGAGACTGGCAATGTGATGGCCACCAGCCAAGAACATGCAGAGCACCAGAAGTTGGAAGTGGCCAGCGAGGACTCACCCCTAGACCCCTTAGGGGAGCGTGGCCCTGCTGATGCTCTGCCTTCAGACTCTAGCCTCCAAACTTGGGAGAGAATAGGCTTCTTTAGCTTGAAGTCACCAGTTTGTAGTACTTTGTTACAACAGCCCTGGCCGACTAATACACTCACCAAAATACAGATTTTAACTTTGCTTAAAAAAACAAAGGCAAATGCAGTAGCAAAGATGACAGCAAAGGAGTGATTTCTTTCATCTCCTCCATTTCTAAACACAGAGCAATTAGGGTAGGACTGCCAAACCTCACGGACAACACTTAGAACAAAACTGAACGGCAGGCTGTGTGTATGCCTAGATAGCACACCGTGAGGAGGGAGAGACAAGCAATCCCCGCCCAAAAACCTGTACGATACCGATAAGTGTGAGAGGAGCAAGTGGGCACAGCAAAGGGACTGCAAACCCCTCATAAAAATACCAACAGGAGTTCACCCCAAAGGGAGGGGCCCCCTGCTTTCAGAGGGTGCCGCCTGGCAAGCCATGGGGTCCGGGGTCGGGTCAGGGAGTGTGGGGGTAGCCGAGCCCTGGGCTCAGCCAAATGGCCTGAGGTCCCTTCGGGAAGGGGCCTTGGCTCCCACATCAGGAAGGGAGCCCTGGAGCGGCGTCCACACTGCCCCACCCGAGCACAAGCACTGCCCGATGCTAGAGGGGACCTCCTAACCCATATAAGGCTTCCTCATTCCCAGCAAAACTGTGTGTTTGGGAAACTCATTTGACAAAAAAATAATCTAGCTGGCTTTACTATTCTGAAAGTGGCTTCAGGAAGTTAAAAGAGGAAAGCTTGAATTTTATCCCCCCGAACCATGGTTTTAAGACTGAATTTGGCCCCTGGAAAAAAAAATTCAATTTCAAACTTGATGCAAACATGTGATCTTGTTCTTTTAGGGTCTGAGAAGCCAGGGGTGGGGGGTCAGGCCACCGTGGAAATGACCGAGCTGTGGGGTGGTGAAGACAAGTGCGCCCGGCAGTACTTGAACTGTGACTTAGGAAAGCCACTATGCAATTATTCAATCCCTCCTTGGCCAGAACAGATGTTTTCTGTTTTGAAAGTGTATAAAACAAATCATCACTCCCTGTAAACGGCCTCAGGCCCAAATTCAGTTGGCACATTCCACAACTGAACCCAAACCCCCCATGATGGTGGAGGGGGCCACGCCAGCAGGGCCACCCCGCGGGTCACTGGCCAGGCTGTGTGCTGAACAAGAGTCCCGGGGCTGAGTTGGAGCAAACTCTATCCCCTGGGTAGGAAAAGGGGTTGTCTTTGGTACACACAAAGCCCTTAACTGCTAGCCAAGCCCAGCGTGGCAACCATCCTAGCAGAAAGGCAGAGGGGGCTAACCTCCAGCCAGGTTGCAAATTGAAGAAAACACATTACAAAAGAGATCCAATTTAGTCTTCTTGTATTTCTATACTGTGGGCTTATTTCCCAATTCAGTAAAAATACCCTAGGTCTGAATGACCTTTCCGGCCGTCGCAGCCGCCTAGATCCTGTGGCCATCAAGTGTGCTGGCCTTGCCAGGGACACAGGGATCAGGCCATTTTGTCCACTGTTCACCTCATGTCATATTCACCTTCCTCCAGACCTGGGGGCTCCCTTGTCAGCCAAGCTGCTCCCAGCCCTTGGAGAAGACTCCAGAAAGCAGAGCTGGAGCTGAAACACCTACCTAGGATCTCTTTTCCAGAGCCAAGTTCTTAAAATGAAAACTGGAAGTCAAAGAAATGAGTTCCAATAGCCTTAACGAGGTGGCCTCCTTGGTCCTCTTGATCTCAAGTGCTCAATAAATGTTTTGTGGGTCAAATGAAAAATTCATTTGGCTAAATTAATCATCCTATTTTTGTATCTTGTTGGAACACCCAGACCGGTAGTTTCCATAATCCTAGCTGTGCATTATAACCACCTGGGGAATTATAAAACTTCCGATGCCACATCCTACACCGATTATAGAAAACTTTGAGGGTGGGACCCAGGCATCACACTTTTAAAGCTCCCTGGGAAATCCCAATGTGCAGCCATATTTGACAACCACTGATCTAAACCACTAGATACAACAAAGAAAACCAAACTCCCCACTATCTCCAAACTAACCACACTCAAGTCACCAAAAGGTTCTATCAGATAGAAATAGATCCTCAACAATAACAGGGGGCCTGAAAAAAGTCCAAACTCCCTGCTAGCTATAGCCATAGGTTATAGCTAGAGCCAATGCTCTGCAATTATCCAATTTCAACCTCTATGCCTGTCTAGTAAGGAACATGTAACATGACCAAACAAAATGTACTTGCTGTAACAGAGTTACTCAACTTGGGTTGAAAATATGATGTGAATGATTACCCAAATTTGGGAATACAAGACAGCAATGCCATAAATGCCTACAAATCAGAAAATGTGAAAATAGATTCAATGATAAAAGAAATATAAGCACACCAGACTCAAGTCGACATGGTAATCCAAACTAAGCTAATAAAAATGTTGTTTGGCACAAGTTCTTAGAAAACTCTGTTCAAGCAAGAATGATGTGTAACTAGTGAAGCACTCAGACAGAGCCTTCCACAGTGCTCAGCAACACAGCGACCTGTCCCAGGGCAAAATGTGTCCTTTGTCCAACGGGCAACTCAATGTCCTCATTTCCAGACCACTGCCTACTTTGTGTGTGTTTATTCAACAAGAACTTAAGAGGAATCAACTTGGAGGTCTGGTCCAAATTAAATACACCACTATCAAAAGAAGGCATGGGAAGGGAAGGTTTCATCTCCCTGCCTCATTTTGTCCCAGAGACCCATTTATAGGCCTCTCTCGGGAGAATGAACCTCACTACTCTTACCCTGGCTGAATCCCAAATCTGTATATCCAGCTGGAACCTTCTTCCCGCCCGAATGCTCACCACACTGTCCTGATCTGGAATCAAAACCCAGCTCAGACTTCCCTACTCCTTCCCACCAATGGTTAATAACCCTGCCACTTAAGATTGCCTGAACCCCCAGCTTCTCCCCCGAGTCCCCCACCAGAGCCTCCCTGCACCACTCAAATTCACTGGTCAGGACAGCCCTCACTTACACACGTCATTTCTTCAAATGTTAAAAAAGGAGACAACCCTTCACAGGGTCCCTATAAGGAGCCTGTACCGATGTTCGATCCCTTAAAATCAGGCACTGCCATTTAATCATTGATCCATAAGGTGGGCAGGCCTGTGGACATAAGTACATCAGCCATGTACTTACATCAGCCAAGCTTACTAGCCCAAATAGAAGAGGAGTCCTGCCAATGAAATCCTATGACACTTGGTGCCCTGGCAAAAAGGAAGGGAAATAAGCTCTGGTTAGAGCTCCACTTCTTCAGCTTTAAGAGGCTAAGATGTGGTAACCTCCTTAACTAAGTGAATTCCATTAGAGAAGCTGGCCTCAGAAAATAAGCAATTCTTACACGTTTAGGA